TTTAGTCAAATTGTGAATTAAAGCAATCCTGGTTCTGATTTCTTATTTTAATTCTTCAAATAAGTTTTGAACTGGGAAAATAAAATATTTTTACATAAATCTCTTTGAAATGACGGAGATCCCCTACCCCGCCCCACCATAGGTCAAAAGTAAATTACTGCCCTTTTTGGTTCTTGCCTACAGTCTATATGAGGACATAATTCTTGGTGTTCCTAAAATTGTTCATGTTGAAAGAGGTCCTGTTTTAAAATACATGGAGGGCCTCAATTTGTGTGTTATAGTAGAAACAGCCAAAATGATTGCTGTTTGGAAGGTGGAGGAAATAATTTCTCTTTTGAGAACATGACAAAATAGTGGCTCAGATTTAGGTTAAAAATAATAATGTTGAAAATCATCCAGCATTTCTAAAATAGGTAACCTGAAGTCACATTTGAATCAGATAGGAGCTATGATGCTCAACATTCTCCTGATCATTTGGGGGTATTTTCGCTAATCAGGATAGGTGCAGTGATATCTCATTCTTCCCCCAATATTTCATTTTCATCTTTCATAAAGGAATTATGAGTAGCTGCATTTACCACCTAATATTTCCAAATAAGTTCTTACAATTAGGGAACTGTCAATTTATACATCTGAAGGCACCTTAATATAAACTTAAAGAACACAACTGCTTTATAGTAATAGAAAAATGGTATGTTTTTTTCCTTCTTAATATATGAGGTAATACTAAAGGCTGTTCAACAATTCTTAAGAATGCAATTTTAAGGTAGAAAATGATCAGAGAAGAGAAAATGAGAAAAGTCAAAAGTTTCCTCAAAATTTAAATATCAAGAAAGCCAAAGTCAATAATTATTTTAAAAATCTAAAACCTAAGTTTACTTATTAATTGCCTTCATATAACTCTGCTAAACTTTTATAGAATCCTGGTAAATTCTAGTATTCCATGAAAATGTTTGAAAGAGATTATACATCTCTTTCAATGTCTCAAGAATTTTAAATTATGTTTCAATGCAAGACTAAAATGAAGTCACAACAAAATACTGTTTGTTAAGTTCTGGCTTTGGTATTTGCGTGGTCCTGGAGAGATGAGGTAACCTGTAGACTTTCTCATTGCCCAGACCTTCTCAGCCACTAAAAAGCACTGACTCTTCTAATGTAAATAGTGTTCACAGAGCCTTCCTGCTTATTATTCATAATCAATAGGAAAACATTATGAGCCAAATTTGACATGAGAAATCTAGGCATTGAAAAGAATGGAGAGGCCTCCTTCTTAGAACATGAAGTAAGAGAGCCGCCTGGTGGTCAATTTGGTGCACAGCCTTGCGGCTAGGCACAGGAGGAATAGTGATTTTTGTTTCATTGAAAAAAGAAATAAAAACACGACAGTAAAAAAAGATAAAAGCATTTAAGTGAAAAATTTATTTTCCAAACCACTTATTCTAATTCACTTTTTTAAAATCATGCTTGCTGAATGTATTTTGTGCATAATATGGGTACTCGGTTATTTAACATTTTTTTATATATAGTACATTCACATTCTCTCAGTGCTATCATTTTGGTCAATTTTAACCTTAAAAAATGTACCGCTAAGCTCACAGAGTAACTTATTAAATGACCTGCAGTTAAATTACTTTCAAGCACACAGAGAGCTCAGAGGGACTAAGATGCTTGGTTAATAGAAGTTAAATAAGAATCTACTTAAAAAAAATTACAAAGACTATTTTGGTATCAGCATATCAATTAAAATTGTTACTTCAGAAAAAACTGGTCTCTCCCTGAAAGCTGACAATCTAGCAAGGAGATAAAGTAAACAGCAGCTATAAACTATAGAGTGGCAAAAGATAGAGCTAAAAGTGGAAGTGGTTGCTGCATGGTAAACAATTTGGAATTTCAGTTGAGGATCTTGAATCGTTCATTGGTAACCTGACAAGAGTACTGACCCGATGATTAGCAACTGGGTATAAAATGGCTTGGAGTAGGGAGAAATGAAAAAAGACTAAATGCCAAATTGTAACAGCTCACAGTGGGGTTTTGAAACTCAGTTAAGAAAGTGGGACGGAGTTAAGAGATAGACATGAGTTTTTAAAGTTTCATTGAAAAAAATTTTTCACTTTTCAAAATGTAAGACAATGTGACTCCTAGAAGGGATCACCAATGTTATAGAAGGGGGTTTAAGAAACTTATTTAAAAACTAAGTAAAATTTGTACTTTGAAAAACTCACATAGTCCTGATGTTCTTAAAGAGAATAATTTGTTTCTTTCAATATATTTTCCTTAGGAATTTAAGCATATTTTCCAAGAATTCTTACATAAATTATTAATTGGTTCAATCTAGGAAAGGTTGCTAAGCAAAGGAAAATGCACCTTTGTAAAAACTGATAAACAGAATCTTCATTTAAAGTGAAGTACGGAGGCCAGAAGGGGGAGCTCACACGCCCTACCGCAACACAAAGCCCAAGAGGGGAACCTCTCTCTCTCTCTATATATATATAAACAGACATTTATGAAACAATTTTTCCTCTCCTTTATTTCCTCCAGATTTGAACATGACCTGCCATTGTTGCATGTTCCAGATTGCAATTCTGTGTTGTTTTAGAATAAAAACTGGCTGACTTTGTTTACCATCAACACTTTAATCTGTTCCATTTATCACAATTACCAAGAAAACAAAGACATATTTGGGATGCTTATTTCCTTGAATAGGAAAGTTTCTGGGTTTTTCTACCTTCCTTTCTAATTAAGTGAAGAGGGAAGGAAAAGCATTAGGATTGAGAAATTAAGCTGGTTGAAAACGTGATGTGAGAGATAAGCCCTGGGTTAGAGAATGGTAGCTCTTCTTGAAAGATCACATCTCTAATCTACACAACCTCCTCACTACTTTCCACCACCCACCATTTTAAGACTGTTCTTAATACTTATTTTTATAGGGTAGGGACAGGGCCAGCCTCAAAATGTCCTAGTAAAATTCTGTGTGTGACAAATTGGTCTAATAAGGTACTAACTCAAGAAGAACAAATTCAACTTCCGTGTGACTTACCTAGGAAAGGCTCTGTTCTTAAAGCATTTCTATGGATAATAGGTAAAAGTTGTCTGCACATATTTTTGGAACACATTTGAACACATGATGCCAAAACTGTTTTATTTTTAAAACATATAAAGGCAGTCTTCTCCATTAGCTGCACACTCCTGAGATTTTTTACTTCTCTGAGGGATGATTAGTCCTTTACCGAATTAAGTTATCGTATTTACCTCTCCAATGCTCACCTTAGTGATCCCACTGATTCTCTTTAACCCTGACCCAATCTACTTTCTCTTCCCTACCATCACTGACTCAACCTTGATTCAGGCTCTCATTATCTTTTGCCATTACCATACTAGTCTCCATGTTTCTGTATTTAGCTCCCTCTCAATCCATCTTTGTATACTACCTGCTGAGTTACCTAATTTGGAACCCCCCCCCCGCCCCCGCGTTTAATTCTTCCATTGACTTCCAGGATAAGCTCAAATTCTTAGCATAGCATGCAAGCCCTTCCATGATACGGTCACACCTAAATCATTCAAGTTCCTCTGGGTCCTCTCTTTCCATACTTTCACTTAACCTCCCAAACTCTACTCTTATATAACATCCTCCCATCCCCTTGAAAAAGCTCTACCCTCTCAGGCCTCTAGGGCTTTGTGAGTGTTGCAACTTCTGTTTAGAGAGGCGCTGCTCATCTCCTAACCAATTCCTACTCATATTTTAAGACAGTTAGGAAAGTCACCTCGAAAAGGGAAAGTTGCCCCCAACTCACAAGACTGGATTAGGTATCCTTGCCCTGCACTTCTGTAACACTCTGAGCTTTCACTCCGTCACAATATTTACCATCTGGCCTATAATTTTCTCCAAATCTACTGAGAGCAACTTGAGGGTGGGACTGTGTCTTATCTCCTACTGCAGTTCTTGCTACACATTAGGTATACAAAAATGTTTTTTGATGCCCCTTTAAAAAAGAACTTATTGGTCACAATGGAAATTGCATTTCATTTGCAGTTTCTCTCGTGACCCCATACAATCGCTCTCCTTTGTAAATCTATCATATACATCTGTCAGTATAAAGTTCTTCAAATTACCTCTATCAAGGTCCTTCCCTCCGAACAAACTTTTGTCTCCCTATTTTCTATGACAGCAAGGCCAGACATCTGGGTCTGCTTTCCAAAGTATAACTATCTGTTTGGACCTACTTGTTCTACTTTATTTCCAGTCCCTATTCTCCTTTATCTCTGGTCACTTCAAATATTCTGCATTCACTTTTCCTATTGAAATCCCACCTGTCCTTTCAACACCCTGCTCAATAATCATTTCCTCACTGAAGTCTTTTTTGGCTCTTTAAACACATTGTTTGTCACTAATTTGTGCACTTACATGTCATCTTGTTGGGATGTAATCATTTCTTGGATAAGCCTTCTTTCCTCCACAGGATGATTTAAGTTTCTGTGGGGGGAGGGGCAGGAATCATATACATTTTGGTGTCAACAGAGCAATAATGATTCAATTTTTTAAAAGTGAGTAATAATACATTACTACCAATAAAATGAAAACCGTTCAAATATAGAATTTGGCTTTTAACTTGAATAACACTAGAGAGGAAAGAAAATTAATCGCTAGCTTAAATTAGTCCTTTGCAAAGAAGGATGTAAACTTGCAAGATGGATCAGATGGGCATAGGTACAAATGAGAATAATTTTACTTGTGGTTATTGAAACAGTCAGCAGCTCGTTGTTACACACATTTTCCTGGTCATTGTAATTCCTCTAAGGATATTTAGTTACCATCCTGAATATGACACAGTCAGTTCTGTACAGAATTACAATGGCACCCTGTAACATATTATATTGTAAGATTTGGCATGTGTATCAAAAGGAAAAAGGTATCCCAAATCTACTATCTCTAAAATATTATTTAAGGCGACACAGAGCTGATGAGAGTAGCCATGCTTTTCCTCAAGCAGAAATTCTTTTGGGTACCTGGTTCGGCAGCACATATAGTAAAATTGGAACAATACAGAGAAGATTAACATGGCCCTTGTGCAAGGATGACATGCAAATTTGTGAAGCATTCCATATTTTGGGGACCTCATCAAAATAATAAGCTTCTGCACAGGTAAAGAAAACATCAGCAAAATGAAAAGGGAACCAATTGTATGGGAAAATATATTTGCCAATGATACCTCAGACAGGGGTTTGATCGCCAAAATATATAAAGAACTCACACAACTCCACTCCAGGAAGATAAACAATCTGATTAAAAAATGGGCAAAGGACCTAAACAGACACTTCTCCAAGGAGGACATACACAGGGCACAGAGACATATGAAAGGATGCTCAGCATCACTAGCCATCAGAGAAATGCAAATTAAAACCACAGTGAGATACCACTTCACACCAGTCAGAATAGCCATCATAAACAAATCAACAAACAAAAGTGATGGCAAGGTTGTAGAGAAAAGGGAACCCTAGTACACTGTTGGTGGGAATGCAGACTGGTGCAGCCACTGTGGAAAAGAGTTTGGAATTTCTCCAGAAAGCTAAAAAATGGAACTGCCTTTTGACTTAGCAATTCCACTGCTGGGATTACATCCTAAGAATCCCGAAACACCAATTCAAAAGAACCTATACACGCCAATGTTCATAGCAGCACAATTTACAATAGCCAAGTGCTGGAGGCAACGTAAGTGCCCATCAGTAAATGGGTGGATCAAAAAACTATGGTACATTTACACCATGGAATACTATGCAGCAGAAATAAAGAGCTACTACTTTTCACGACAGCATGGATGGAACTGGAGAGCATTATGTTAAGTGAAATGAGCTAGGGGGTGAAACACAAATACCATATGACCTCACCTATAAGTGGAACCTAATCAACAAAACAAACAAGGAAAATATAACCAGCAACACTGAAAGAAAAACCAGACCAACAGTAACAAGAGTGGAGGAGGGAGGTGGGTAACGGGGGAAAAAAGAAGAGGAAGGATCAAGTGGAGGAACAAGTATAAAGGACCAATGGACAAAGCCAAAGTCAGGAAGGATTGAGGGTGGAAGGTGGGGGTGGGTGGGGCAGGGGAAATTGGTGGCAGAAAAATGGAGACATGTATTTGAACAATAAAAAATAATAATAAAAAATTCTTTTGGCATCTAGGTAAATGATCCAGTACTCTTTTAAAATCATGGTTGTCCTGTGGATGGACACAAGACACTCAGTTAATACACTGAATTAATATAAAGTCAAAAACTCATATCCCATTTTAAAGGCCCCCTAAAAATGCAAAGATCTAACTGAAAAGATTATTTGATAATATGAAGCACCAACAGAATGTTAGGCCCATAGAGACAGTTGTTTTTGTACCTGGTAGCTTTTCAGTAACTTCAAGTTGCTTCATGTTCCTACATACTACTACTGAGCCATTTTCATTTTTGAGTTTCTCATGCCATAACCAGAGATTGAAAACTGTAGTTCAAAGCAAAATGGGTAATACATTAGAACCTCGTTTTTAACAATTCTGTGGCTTTGAACAATGTATTTAACTTCTCTGAGCCACAGTTTTTAAATTTATAAAATGGGGACAGTAATATGTATTCTATATGATTACTGTGAGAATTACATATGTAAAATAACTAAGACAGTGTCTGGCATATGGCAGGTGTGAAACTTACTGTAACATTAGCTCATTTGTTTTTGATGTATCACACTGAACAATGAAAAGTCATGTTAGAACATTTAATATTCCTATGCAAATTACCTAGAATATTACACTAACAATCATAATTTCTAGTGACATGATAAAATCAAAAGATACGATTACTGTTGTCATTAATATGATCTTTAATAATTGGAATAATGCACCATTTACAGCAAGCCTTTTTTAAACCTAAAGAACTGTCTTAAAATCTCCTTCTCCAATGTCTCTATATCAATACAATCTTTTTTATTTAGGTTTATATATATCAAAGCATTTACTTACAATTATTCATAGAAAACTCTTTAGTGGCTTAGTGTCAGCTTTCATAGTGGCATCCATAGATAATACAAAAGAAAAGTGATTTGTTTTATTTCATACACTGATCCATCAAACACAACTTATACAGCATAGCAAGGTCTCAGACAGCTTATACAAAAGCAAAATAACTGAAATTATTCATAAATTCATATATGATATTTTATCTGTAAGAGCAAAACACACCAACAAAAGATACCCGTTAACAAGAAAGAGGGTTCTGAGGAAGTGACAAGATTTTTCGACCTTTCTTATTCCAGAAAAGCATCCTCAGAAATGAATACTCTGTAGCTTATCTTTCACATGTCTATTCAGAAAAAGTATGGCAGCTACACATCTCCGTGTTTCAGCTACAACACCCTAAGTTAGTGTATTTTACAATTATTCACTTATCTTCATTTCAAAACTATCAAAAGAAAATTAAGGATGATTCCAGCTTATATGAACACTTATACAATATAATCTCCATGACAAGGCATACAAAAACTGTTTAAATAAATAAAAATGTAACCAGAAAAAGAGAAGCCACAGAAGCCAAGCAATTCAATGTTAAACCAGGACCTATCTCTGAATTGTATCTTTTAGTAATTTAGTTTTCTTATTGTTAAACTTCTTTAAAAATGTGTTTCCCTACCATACTTACATGGATTGGTAATATGGTGTAGAGCCTGAGACAAGAGACTGGTTACAAATAGCTTTACTGCTGGGGTTTTAAGTATATACCATACCAATTTGGAGCCTGAACTTACCTGATTTAAAGAAAAATTCCATTTGGACCTAACAATGAGATAAATAGGTTATCTTCTCAAAATCACCCAAGCTATTATTAAAATCATAAACTCAACAGTTCACTTTAAAAAGAATTTTATAATGTTAAATTACCTCCTGAGAAAATGTTATCTCAGAGGAACTACCTTACTAAGTTCTCCCATTAAAAAATAAAATAAAATGAAATAATTTGTCCCATCATATACAACCATTTGACCAAAGAACATAAATGGTTTAAAGATGGTGCTTCAACACTAAGACCCACATATGCTGCTACATGTAGCCAAGTAGTTGAATCATTTCCATCTCTCTTCCGTAATTATAGAACTGGGCATGTTTTTCTGATTAGTGAGATCTGATATTTTGTCTACGTAAATTAAGTCAAATCATAATATGAAACATTAAATGAACTGTGTGTGCAACAAACACTTTAAATAGTTGACTGGATCTAATTGCTAGTTTATTACCAATTGAAATTTTACAATGTACAAAGAGATGAAAGGGGCCCTGAGTTTTTAAGTAATATTATGTCTTTAGGGTGAGTCTAAACAGGAAGATGTTTCTGAAATCTAAAAGTACAAATAAAATAAAAATAAACCATATTATCTTTTAAAACAACAAACATCCAAATTCTAGTTTAAAAGTTATTTGCTTTAAAGTTCAATCATAAACTGGACACTCTAATGATGTGATTTATTTCTAAAGATTCCTCCTCTCTTATCCAGATTTTAAAATCTGGGTTTCATAAAAAAATTACTGCCACATGTTTAATAATACTACTACAAACATAAGGAATAACAGAATTGGAATTTTTAAGATATGATAGATTTATTTTGGGCATAATTTTAATACACAGCATAGATTCTTCTTACATATTTACTTTCAAATGCATCAGCCATGAGATAAAGTCCTAAATTTTACTTCATATTCACAAACACTCAACTTTAACCAGTCACTTAAGAGTTAAATGAAAGTTGTCATTGTCTAGCCTATGTTGCAAAACAATTATAAGTATTTCAAAAGTGGTCTGCAAAAATGTTCATAGATAATACCTGATTGCTGTAGGGTTTGTTTTTAAAAGTTAATGTTGTAGATACAAATAAATATGTAAAACATGTTTTATGTGGCTCAATCATAATGCTAAGCTTGCTGCAATATAGGTTAAATTTTTTAATAGCAAAATGATATACAATTCTGTGTGCATGGCTTTTTAGGTATAACTAATTAGAATATAAATTCATAAAACTCAACAATTTAACATAAAATGTTAGAAATAAAAATTAAATGATTTTCTGACAATTTGATGGCTCCATTGTCAAATAGTAACATCTTAATTCTCAGTTCTCTTATTGAACTATTAACTGGAGTAATGAACTTGAATATAACATGAAGTATAATTTTAGTGTTCTTAAATAAAAATTAAAATAGAACTGAGGATAAAATGCTAAAGGAACTAAAGCAATTTTGTCTGAAGAACTGAGACTTAGGTGTCTTAAATGAGAAGCCTGAAGCATACTGAAGAATAACAATGTTGAAGAGGATAACTTACAGCGTGCGCGCTCTCTCTCTCTCAACTACTGGATAAGAAAAATGGATATAAAATAAAAACAGGAGAAAAGCAGAATAGATAGGAAAAAAACTTTCCTCACAAAGATGATTGTGAGTCAGATAATCAAGGGATAAAGTCAGACACAAACTAAGATGTGATAGAAGGAAAGTAATTTAGATGCACCAGAGTACCCTTTCTTCTATGTTTAATATGGGAACCTGTAGAAAAGCCTTTTGATAGTAATGTTTGTGTAACTAGCTCAAACTGTGATCTGCCAGATTTACTTAATCAGGGATTATATTTAGGAACAGTCATGTAAAGTAGTTTAAAGTTTGCAAAGTTTGGAATCTTAAAGTTAAAATGCAATTTTATCTATTGAAGAGCAAACTGACAGTAGAAGGTATGAACATTTAAGAATATCCTAGTCTGACAAAGACTTCTGGGGTATATGTGGGAATGTTATGCAATTTCTAGAGTTAACTGGTCTACGCAATCAACTAATGTTGACTGTAACTATAAGGAATAACTTGGAAGAGAAAGTAATATATAAAGTAACCCGTGAATAATGTAATTACCTGCACTTCACTGGTAATAAGTTTAACACAAATTTATAAAAGATGTATAGAAATATAAGTAATCTCAAATTCTAGGAACTAACTACCTCCAATGAAATATTCATTTCCATAAATATGAAAAAAGAAACAAAAAGTTTATTAAAATATATTTCCATTTTAAATGACTTTGAAAAGAGAGGTT